GATTATATTTTTTGAATGTTCTGTATTGTTATTCGATGCTTCTATGTGATAAATATGAGTGCCGTACCTGAGTCGAAATTTTGACCATATGTTGAACTTTGAATTCTACACCGCAATAGAAGCCAAGATATCAAAGTAGATTTAATTCTAATGATATAACTTACTTCTATTTTGATCCTGATGATGTCTGAAATTTCCGTTTTCGCTTTCTTTAGCGTTAAAATAGATTGTATAATAGTAGGATCTTAAGAAGTAAAGTAGATGCAGTTGCGAACTTTTATTGAAGCTTTAGCTCCTACATAGAATATATGTATTTTATAGAATTCAAGATTCAACATAGGGGCAAAATTTCGACTCGGAAATGAGTGTCAATATCGTCAAAATAGGTTTCACCTAGGTTGTAGATTATCTAAGTAGGCTCAAATTATTTTTAAGAGCGTCAAAGAAACATCAAAATTTTGACAAGGTAGAGTTAAAGGTTCAAAAGAGAAGTTAATGAGTATCAATATTGTCAAAGTAGGTTTTACCTGAACTATAAACCGTTTAGGGAGGCGCAAACTATTCTTAAGAGCGTCGAAGTAGCATCAAAATTTCGATTCGGATAAGCTGAAACTATTTTTAACAGCGTCAAAGTAGCGTCAAAATTTTTACAAGGTAAAGTTAAAGGTTCAAAAGAGAAGTTAATGAGTATTAACATCGTCAAAATAGGTTTTATCTAGGCTATAAACCGTCTAAGTAGGCGCAAACTATCCTTAAGAGCGTCAAAGTAGCATCAAAATTTAGGTTTCACCTAGGTTGTAGATTATCTAAGTAGACTCAAACTATTTTTAAGAGCGTCAAAGTAGCGTCAAAATTTTTACAAGGTAGAGTTAAAGGTTCAAAAGAGAAGTTAATGAGTATCAATATCGTTAAAGTAGGTTTCACCTAGATTATAAACCGTCTAAGTAGGCGCAAACTATCTTTAAGAGTCGAAGTAGCATCAAAATTTCGACTCGGGTATGAACCATACATACACTGAGAAAAAAAAGCGGTTGGATTAACAAAATCGGCAGCCACCGGCCATCAAAGAAATATTGGATCTATTCAACGAAATACATATTAATGCAACAATAAGTTGCGTTGAAATCTACTATATCAACGCAATTTATTGTTGCATTAACATGTATTTTGTTGAATAGATCCAATATTTCTTGGATGGCCGGTGACAGCTGATTTTGTCAATCCAACCGCTTTTTTTTCAGTGTATGAGTGTTTCATACGACACTCATATTTATCGCATAGAAGCATCGAGTAACAATACAGAACATTCAGAAAATATAATCTTATCCTTGGCGAAATTTATTTATACACAGAGAAAACGATTTCGTTGAATCAAACACTTTTTTGGAATGGTCCAAAAAAATTTTTTGATTGAAATACGGTCAATATTTCTTTAATGGCCAGTGATCGCCGATTGTCAATCCAACCGTTTTTTTTTTCTCAGTGTAGGAGAGCGTAGCCTTTACAAATCGACTACATTATTTCTTAGACATTTTTTTCTCTCAGAATGTGGTAGAATTGTTGCTAAGTTTACATACACCTCTCCATCTGAGTAGGCTTCCTCTGGCTAACGAAAAAGAAAGAGAAGTCGTGGATGAAACAAACTTTGACTGTGAGCCTCAGCTCGGTTTTATTGCAAGGTGAAATCTCTGCCGAGACACCTCGCGAGCACTTTGTATCTGCAAGCGAGCGTTTTCTGTCGACGATGGATTTCATCCGAGCTCTTTCGCGATCTCTTTTGTTACGCTGCTATCGTGCGCAATTCCGTCCTTTTTTTTTTTTTTTTTTTTTACGTTATCTGAAGAGGGGATTTACGCGCGCGATAGAACGAATGCTCATATTGTTCTTCCTCTTCTTCTCATATCCCGATCGCTCCTGAACGCGGAGAAGCGCTCGAGCGAATCGCTGTTCACTTTCTCGGGCGAGATTCCGGTTTGATAGCTGCCCGATGGTGATCGAGAGAAATTAATCCGCGACGCTCGGGCCGCGGTGAAAACGAACGGGAATCCGACGACTGCGCGCACTCCATTGTACTTAGCTCAGCCGCGGTTTAAGTCAATTGGCGTTTACGCAAGACAATTGATGCTACGAGGAATAATTCGCGAGGCGGATTTAATAGCGACGATTTCGCGACGTTTCGTTCGGAAAGGCCGGGTGAAAAGGAGGGTGTGATTTGTGGCGGGAAAGCGAGAGAGGGAGAAGGGGGGGGAGTTACGTAAGGATCAGCAGCGTTTCGTATCCTGTTGCGCGACTCGTCGATTCGCGTCCGTTTCGCCGCGTCGTAATAACGGTAAAACGCACGCCGCCGTCCTACGTAATGGCATTAGCGATTGTTAATGCATTATCCGCGCGGTAAAAGTCACCTCGCACCCGTTCCCGCGACAGATTATCGCCGGGCTGACCTTACTATCGGCTCGATTTCAGTGAAGGGAAATCTGCGCGCGCGGACGAGTCGGCGGAGGCAAGAGAGACGAAGATCTAACATCGAGAGAAGAGAGATGGGAATGAAAAGTCACTAGAGATGTGCGAACTATTCGAATTCGAATCCCTACACGCAAAAAAAATTTCAGTTGGTACAACCAAATAGGAACCAACTGAAAATTCATCAGAAGCGATATCTCTGTTATGAAAACTAATATTTCTGTTGTCGCAATCGAAACTCGGTTTTTTATTTGAAAAAATTCCAGGATATATTTCAAATATCTTTTTATATGAATATTTATAGGAATTTATAATTTATATGAATATTTATAGGTCTTTTATAGGAATATTTTTTCTAGACGAAATTTGATTTTAAATTAGAAAAAAAATTGGAAAGCCCAAAAAATTTTTTTGATTTTCAAAAAAGGTATTTATTTTGAATATTGAAATTAGGATTTTTGTGAAAAAAGGCAAACGGTTTTTTCAAAATATATAGATTTATTTTATTTTATTTTTTTTTTATAGATTTACTTTATTTATTTTTTGGGGATCTATTTGATCCCACAGTGCACAATAAGGGTTAAAGACAACCAGCCTTAAGGGAATTAGCATGACTTGAAAAATTTGCTATGCATTAAGATTTTTTTCAAAAATATTAAAAGAAGATAATGGCTTCTAGATAAACTCTTACCGATAACTGTCGGATCGATACGTGTCGTTGCGCAGCTTTCAAAGCTGGAACTGAAATATATTATATATTTCTTACCTTATAAAATGAATTGATATCATATGATCAATGTTATCTCTCTCATATTGAAGTCACTATTTTCATGTTGAATTCAATGGTTAAGTAAAAATTCTTTCTACGATTCGATTCGATTTCATTCGATTCGACATAAAAAATCTTTGATTCGCACATCTCTAAAAGTCACACATGTGTATACATACACAGTGTTGGACGTTAATCGATTAAAATCTCCTTTGACTGAAATAATCGGTAAAGCAATTATCAGGACGAATCAATCGTCATCGCGTACATGTAGTCGCTAATAATATTATAGGTCGATGGAATTAATTATTGATTAGTATATAATCAGTCACATCAACGTTTGATTAATTAAAATTTCCCTTGACTAAAATAATCGGTAAATTAATAATAAAAATCAATAAATCACTCGTCGTATATGTAATCACGAATAATTCAGTCGATTGACGAAATTAATTATTGATCAGTGTATAGTGTTATCGCATCAAAGTTTGATTAATTTCATTAACAGGTGAAATTATTTGCGATTTCACCCAGAAAAATCAAATATCTTTAGCGGAATCCTGTTATATATGGACTCTCAGATAATTCTCCTAAAATCGAATATTCTCAGGACAATATTATCTCTTGGAGAAAATGAATATTTTTGCGCCTTTCGCCTTAATATGGAATATGGGATTACAAGAAATAGCGCCTTTCAACTAGAGTTCTTTTCTTCGAGCCGAAGATTTGCTGGGATTTAGAGTCAGAATTAGAAAAGAAAGAGTTTGCAATTAGAAGATTGACTAGAATGTTCTCCTCTTGGTGTTAGAAGAATCCTTTGAGTCCATATCTCTCGCCAAGGAAATTATATCTGTTTGAGTGTTTATACATAAAGATTGATCGACCTTGACGATTAATTTGCCGATTATTGTAGCCCGACAAAATTCTCATCGATTAATGCCCGAGATTGCACGTTATCGTGCAATATTATTTACAATCTCGCAGCATCGCGTTCGAGAGAGTACCGAGCGTGTGTGTGTGCTGGCTGGATACACTAACTACGGAATAATCAATCCCGTTACGTGGCGCGCGTTCGCGGTAAAAGGACGAATAATCCTGTATATCTGAACATACACGACATTTCCTTCCTTCCATTCGCGTGCCATGGAACGGTATTGGTCGTTTTAGACCCAAGGTTGCGTCGATACCGGTCGTTATTAAGCGGCGCGGCGTTGTCGCTGGCGAGCACAGGAGGAAAATCGCCGGACGCATTAAAGTCGCGATCGCGGGAAACTCGCGCGGCCCTTTGATCAGCGGAATCGATCTGCGAAAATATCTGTCGCGCGAGTCCCGTATTGTCGTCGATATCCCGTTTAATTATACGTCGCGATGTCAAACTGATTCAATGCGCGCAGCGGCGAAAAAGGCTCACTCTTTGGACAAAAAACCTATCGACAGCGTAATTTTCAACCGATATCAAAGATTTTTTTTTCAATTTAGTCGTTAAAAGTAGCTCTATAACGCATATTTATTATGGAAATCAAAGATATCGAGACATTACAAGGTTCAGTGAATTTACAAAGGATCGTATTTTGCACTTGATACATTATTTTAAACGTTTTCATATTTTAGTATTAAATTTTTAACGAGATAGAACAGTTGTTATATCGCTATATAACTGCTTATATAACAAAGCAAATGTATTACTTTTTGAGCGCGTTAAGCGGCACGTCGCGTGCACTCTCGTTGTTGCGATTTTTCGTGGTATTCTTCACGTCCCGTTATTTTTCAGGCGCGGCACAAAAATCGTACGACGACAGGGCGTGGTGCCGCGGAAATTGAACACGAGCGAGATCGCGTTGGTAACGATAGAATAAGCGTCTCCTCGCGTTGTTACGCGAAGACCGACTCGAAATTTCAGCCCTATTTTCGATCTGAACTTTCTAACATCTACATGTTCTGAAGGATTAATGTATGTTTAATATACACATGGAGAGTTCTATATAATGCTTTTAAATGACAGAGAACGTACAAAGTGCCACTTGTAGGTTCTAAAGAGAATCTCCTGACAAAGTCAATGAGTTAAATAGAATCAAAAGAGGTTGATTATTTATATAATGAGGATTTAAAGTTGATCCGAGATTAAAGACGACTTGAGTTGACTTGATTTGATGGTAGGTGAATAAAAAGGAGAAAGAGAGAGAACTTTCTAACATCTACATGTTCTGAAGGATCAATGTATGTTTAATATACACATGGAGAGTTCTATATAATGCTTTTAAATGACAGAGAACGTACAAAATGCTACTTGTAGATTGTAAAGAGATCTCCTGACAAAGTCAATGGTTTAAATAGAATCAAAAGAGGTTGATTATTTATATAATGAGGATTTAAAGTTGATCCGAGATTAAAGATGACTTGAGTTGACTTGATTTGATGGTAGATGAATAGAAAGGAGAAAGAGAGAGAATCTCACGAGAAAGTCAGGTGGTCAAATGGAATTGAAAGAAATTGACGTAGGCTTCAAGATATCGAATTAGTTAAATGGAATATTGAGGTCGAAAGTGGTATCAAAATTTCGACTCGGGTAACATGGTTTCGCGGTAATTCTACACCACGGCTGCGGGAAGAGGGACAGAGGCGCGGAGGAGACGGGGAACTTTTTCATTAGTGCCTTTCTCGCGGTATCGACGCGCGTGCCGATATTTCATCAGCGAGTCTCGCAAAGAAGGGGGCATCTCCGCCACGGATACACGGCTATGTACAGAAATGGTTGTAATGCAATTATGCGCCGAGTATTGACTTTACAAAGAGAGAGAGAGAGAGAGAGAGAGAGAGAGAGAGAGAGAGAGAGAGAGAGAGAGAGAGGCGCACGGAGCCGCACACTCGCGCCAAACTTGTAATTCAAAAGCGCCCGCGAGATCCACTATTCATTAGCCACTGAAACATTCGACAGTCGGAATCGTGCAGTCGCAGTCGGTGTAGTTACCAGCCAGACAGACAGTTAACAGCGTCTTCCCTATTTATTCCGCCAATTCCTCATTCCGTTGTGTCACGTAACGACGCATTCCGTATGCTCCGCCGCTTAAATGACGGATCCTTATTCACGTTGCTCACGTCGCGCTCGCCGTGGCACGTGCAGGCTCGCTTTGAAAAATGTAAAACAACGTCGAATTCGCGGCGAGCTGAGACCGTGCGAGCGAATAATGGATGATCGGAGCAACAGTGCCGGGAGCCGTGGACAGAAAGAGAGGGAAAACCGAGAAATTTGTGCGGGACATTAAATCGATACTTACACGAGACTCTACGTGTTTCAATGTCAACCCGCGACATTGTATGCCCGGTTGCGCACTTTTTATCGGATGAAGCTGCGGCGCCTCCACTTGCCAAATGAAAATACCGCCACTCTTCGCTCGTTTTCAGGGAGATTCCACTCTAAGGAATTTTCAACGCAGAGCTTCTGTCCTCATGTGTGTGTATGTGTGTGTGTGTGTGTATTACATCTACGTCGATCCTTCAGAATGTACAGAAAAGTTCAGGTCGAAAGGGTAGAACCGAAATCCCGACTCGGAACTCGAAGCGCTGCCTTCGATAAAACGTATCTAAACCATTTTGTGCACTGAGAGAAAAATGTATGATATTTGGAACTATAATAGCATAGTAAAAATATTATAGTTATATAACTATATATTATAGTTATATAAATATTTTAGGAATATAATTTTTATAGTAAATGTTACCATAATATTTGTAATATTTACAATATAAGTATAGTATAACTGACCCGTGTAAAATTTTTACCAAGAATTATAATTATTTGAAATAAAAAATATGGTAAGGTGGCAAATATTGAATGGTAAGAGAAATTAACTATTTTATATAGTCAATACAATTGGAATATTTGGCAAATATAGGTACATGTAACTATATTCTCAAAAGGTGCTTTACCATATATATAGAGTAATAAGATGGTGACTATAAATATGTGTTCATTCTACTATATCTTCATGTTTAGATGAACTATAAATATATGTTTGAGGCCAAAACGAACTATAAAATATAGTGAGATTATAGTTATTCCAACAATTTTTTTCTCTCAGTGTGACCGAGCACACGCATAAAAGTACGCGACTGTTGACGCGTGGGATCCGTGTGAACGTCCGCCATTTCTCATGGTGTTGTCATCCGATATAAAAGGAAAATAGAGCCGAGCTCTTCCGCCTGGAGGGGACGTTTCATTTTAGATCGTTACGATACGCTCGACGCTTTCTTCTCTTTGCTCCAAAACACTGCTCGAGATCGCTCGGGGCTGCGGGAGGCAAAGGACAACACGGCGACGATGTTCTCGTCGGGTTGAAAATCGAAAATTCCTCCGCTCGCCTGCCGTTTCACGATGCAACATTCCCGTCCTGTGTTGTCCTTGCAACTTGCGCGTGTTATGGACGGCGGCGTCCCAGAATGGAATAGCGTGAGTCTGCTCGGATTCAAGGAGATACAACTTATCGTGCCGGTTACGTCGGTTTGTCTTATCGGCTTGTCCCGGTCTTTTTCTTCGAGTCCTCTTTCTTCTTCCTCCAGTTGGCTGGCTGGCAGCCTGGCTAGCTAGCTCTTATCGGCCGGTTGCTACTGGCTGCGCAATAGTCGCCGCGCGAATCCGCGTCGAGACGTTTTACCCTTTAATCTGGAAAAACGCCGCCAAGGAGCCGATCATCATTCCGTGGAAAAATTCGGAGATAGTCCGTTGGACTCGCGGAATGAAGGAAGTTCCGCGTGTGCTTGCCGCTCGCACAAACAGCCAGAGGCAACCGCGTGCGTGAAGTTGGCACCTCATTTTTTAGCACCGCAAGTTTTG